GAAGACCGACATGGATCCTCATGTTTCTTGTATAGGGAAAAGAAGGATATTATCACACCATATGTGGAGTCCATGGTGCTTTACGTTGGTGACCTGAAAGAAGTCCCCACCCAGCGGCAGTGCTGGTCCAGTCCCTCAACCAACCGAATCCTCCAAGCTCTTTTTCGGGTCCACTTTTGTGTCCGTGCGACTTCTGAGCGACTTTTGGGCGTAAACGTCCGTCCGTTTGGGCGTAAACGTTTCCGCAGAGCGTGGCCGCGCAGGGACCTGCAATCCGTGGAACCCTGATTTCGGTCACGGGTCTCAGGCGAGTGCACTCGGCGGTCCGGCACGCTGGCTGCGCGACGCCGCGGGTTTGCGTACAAGACCAGGGAAACCCTTTTGTAAGCATCCAGGTTTGGGTGATCTTTGGATTTGGGGACATTGGACAGTTCGGGCACATTCGGGCACCATTCCTTTTCGATTGCATGTTCACCACCAGGATCGAATCGCACGCGCAACACGCCAGGCCTGTTTGGGGCCACAATCACTTGCAGCGGCCTTCTCTTCACTTGTACAGAGGGAAGTCAGGCCAGGCACTGTACAGTTTTCCTGCCCCTGGGCGGCCGTGAGCGATGGTAGAATTCCACACTTGAAAGAAGAGCCTTTAGTTCGTAAAGTGCTTAGCATAGACAACATCCGATAATTTTGGTCAATATATTAATGTCAATATAACTAATATTGGGCCGTGGCGATATCACAGACAGAACTCTCCGTGGCTTGATCCTGATGGGTAGCCAAACTACGTTTACCGGGATCCAAGTCTGAAAGGAGCCGCCTTAATCGCCTTAATCGTTGCGCCAAAAGGTTTCAGACGGTAAATCAAGTGATAGCAACACGAGTACATGTTTTATTACATATATACATCACAGACCCCAACAATGAGGCCGATGTTTTCCCTTGGTGTTTGCTCAGGTGTTCATCACATTGCACAAATTCAATCTTCTGAAACCCTCTCAACTTCAGAAGTGTTGGAGCCCATCCCTCATGGCGAATCTTTAACTATATTTTAAATCTTGGACGTTGGGTTCACTTCAGAATCACAGCCATGTGATCGCACCTGCTATAGCGGAGTGTTTTTCATGTCATGATTGTGAGCCTTGAAGTCTAAGAAGTTCTCTGCGAGCCTCTCGCGCTCCGCTCCATGCGCAACCTTCACGCACCGAACTCGCTCAGCGTGCTCCAAACGGGGCACCGAGCGAGTTTTGGTCGGTCTTCTCGGCCTGGCGAGAATCGAACGCAACGGTTAGTCACGAGCAAAGTAACAACCACCAGCATGCAGAGCATCTGGCCCTTGGGTTTTGGGGAGCGGGTGATCAACTTGGTTTCTGAACTGGCTGAATCCCCAGAAACGGGGTAACAATGGGTAAAGATGCAGTGTTGTTGGTGTTTTCGCTTTTTTCTCCCGAGTTCCTGGAGCCAAAGGCCTGTTCAACGGCCCGGGCCTCTCTTGATAATGGCATCGCATGGCTTCTTGGCCCCCCGAAGTTCGGACCTATCCCCCCTGAAAACTCACACAGACACTGAAAACCACGTCGGTTTGAGGAAGACCGTCTTTGATGGTTTGACCCGGGGTCTATGTGAGTGACTTCGGGAGTGTCCTCGCCTCCAAGATCATATGTCAAAAGTTGTTTCACCCTATGGCCCTATGGAATAGGACAACATGGACCACCCACTCGGGTTGTTTTTCTTTCTCCACAAAGTGCCGCGTTGCTCTGAAATGGTTAAAAGTCGCCTCCTCTTTTGGTCCAAGCCAGTGCCGCCGAGAGCTCAATCCTTCCAACCAGGAGCTTTATACCCCACGTGGCACACCAGGTTCTGGTGTGGGTGTAGAGGTATCCCTTGGTTGGCCGGTTTTTGCACCCAGAAGTTCTGCCAATTCGCAGACTTCAGGGGGCCCAAGTTCTACAAAGACCTACCTGCCGGAGCTGCATCCCTGCGCCAATTCTGGATGCGTGGGCCATTGATTGCCACTTCAAGCAGCCATCGATTGCTACATAGCTTGACCATCAAATTCAGCAGCTGCGAGCAGTTTCGGCCAGGGCTATGCTGGGGACTTGTCGAAATGCGATATGACTCGCAAGGACCTTTGCTGGGAAAGAAGAAAAGCAAGAGTTGTGCAGCTGCACGTGTCTTTGCACCGGATCTTGGACATGTCTCACCCGGTTTTGCTCGGTTTCTGGTTCGATGGATTGTGTCCCAAAATGCTCGGGGCCCGGGAAGGAGGAACCCTTAAACCAGACCGTCCGGACTGGAAAAACACAGAGGCCCCAGACAAACCCCTGAAATCAACCAATTCTTCTGGATGCCAGGGTGCCCGGAAGCGGTGGGGGTGGTCAATAGGCATCCATTGAACCTCTTTTCGGGGCGGACCACGCGAGGTTCGAGGCTCCGCTGGCCTATCTCGTACAGATAGGCCAGTGATCATCCGATCGGGGATAGCACCGGGTCACCGGGTCCACCATGATTTTCTCGAAGAAGAGGACCTCAGGGTATCGAAAATGAGAGCTAGACCATCCTAGAAGCCAGTTGACCTTTGTTTTGATAGGAAAAGACTATGTTTGGGTGACAAAACAGGGGTCACTCAGGTCCTCACTCAGGTTCGATCTTTTTCAGATTTGATCTCTTTGGAGTGTTCTATCATCGTTGCTTTTTGCTTGCCCGGGGAGCCATCTAAGATGTCACGAAAGCTGGCGTCAGCTAGCTGGAGTTACTCTTGCTTTGGTGCCAGCCGGAGGGTGCGACGGCGAGAGGGTCAGTGGGGTATCTAGTTCTTCCTCATGAAACAGGTAGCCGTTGGGAGCTACAAGGAGGTGCCCCAAGCCCACCAAACTGGCTAGTTAGGCCACGGCTGAAACGGAAGGTCGCTGCAGCGCCACCGAACTTGGTCATTGTTGTGCCGCCCGCAGCCGCCCGCAGCCAGCTGGGCGTAGAGACGACTCTCCGACCAAAAGTGTCACATGACGCCGGATGCAGCAGGCTGCCAAGCACCAAAGTGGTCTGGCTGGGGCAGGAATCTTGAGATTTTGCACTTTTGTGGAGGTATAGATTGATGATGGGGGAGGAAAGTGACCTTTGAATCTATATTGATCTAAATGGTGAGCCTTCTTTTGAAAGGTATGAAGTTATATAGTCGGTTGTGTGGATTCACTTTGTTTTGAAAGCGTACGGCTTATATAATACAGAGCCATACAATATGCCAACTGGTAGGGGACACCCCATACCTACCCCCACTGGTTCTGAAATGTTCTGAAAACTCACAGACGCCCTGGAGAACTTCTCGTAGATAGAGATAGAGCCGAGCCAGATGGGGATGGGTCATGGCACCTGGAGCTCAACCAGTCAACCAGTCGCCGTTGACCTCGACCTTCGTAGGCAGTTCGGTCTCCTGGTGCGACTCGGCCGATGTGCAGGTCTTGGCTTGGGCTTCCACCCAGTTGGAAGGACTCTCTGAGTGCCAGACAGACAGTAGCGCAGTGATGCGCAGGGCAGCGCGAGGTCGGTTGTTCACCTACAGTTGGCGTCTTCGGTCTTCGGTTGGCCAAAGTCAATCTGGTTGCGACATTCTGGTTCACAGGTGGAAGAGTGTGAGATTCGGCGGTTAAATTTGGGATGCTGAGTGCTTCTTTTCTTCAGAGTTTGGACCTTGTCTTCAACTTATATATAAGGGGTCGGTGATGTCAGCCTACCCAGGACAAGTGGATAGCCTGAAAAACTTTTTGGTGATGTATTTCCGACAGGTGGAAGATGGATGAAAAAGGTCAACCGATATTTTTCCAGGCAAGCTGAGGGAGTCCGTCATTTACCCTCCATCCAACAAACATGGCAGTGGATTATGGCCCCTTGGAAGACTGTTTTCCTCTACGAATAGGTGGTTTTTCCACTTCCATGATTGTTTCAGGGAGGGTTTTGTCGCATGGCAGCCTGGCAGCCTCAAGCCTCTACACCTGCGCATCTCCCGCTGGCAGGAGTCTTCCTGCACGGCATCCCAGGACTCGACGACTCGGCGAGTGTTTTGGGTTCAGCGAGTTTGGACCAGGGTGTGAAGGAATCGGAGTGGATGACCTTCTTTTCCAGGGAAGAGGATGGGATGGATATCAACAAACTGTTGGGCGATACATCACTCAATCGGGAGATAGATGGACCCAACATGGCTGACACCCGTGAGTGGGTCAAGAGTTGGCCGTATCAAAAACACGCCCTCACCTTCCTGCACTCGCCATCCCATCCTCATCCGACCGAGGCCGGACGCCTGCTGTTGCAGTACTGTCAAAGGCTCGGACCGTCCGAGTCTTTGGATTGCGGTCTCCGCACCGTCCGAGTGTCCCTGAGTCGGTCCGGGAGTGGCCATGAGTCTGTCACTGGCCCAGCACCCTGTCCCTTTCAGTATGGGTGGCGCAGGAATGAGGACTCCCCAGGCTGGGTGTCTTCCTGTTTGGGCGATTCTTTGGGTGGCGCAGGAATGTGTTCGCACCGGAATAACGAGGCCCAAAGAACGAGCCCCTCCTAAGACCAAGCTCCGCACCGCACCGGGCACCGGCATAGCAGCACCAACCTGAGCGTTTCGAAGACGACACATTTCGCAAAGAAACCACAGGCCTAGACATGGTTGAAGGCAGACTTCCACAGTTGAAGCCCGTACCCCCACTGGGAAAGTTAAACATGGACCAGCGAGAGAATCGTATAAAAAGCAGATATCTTTTGGGAAGAAATACCATTCCATGAACATTCCATGAACAGGAATTGAGATCAACCACCATACATCAAAAAAATTGGCACAGCCCATTGCTTTCAGATGCCGTTCCATTGATTGTTTTGGGGGAGTGGAACTACCACCGATGCTCCTAAGCTATGATCAAAAGTCCAGTGCAGCAGAGCTCTATGATGAGGATTCCAGTGCAGGAGATGAGCCCCTCGGTGTTCTGTGCTGTCCTTTACTTTTTCATAAGGGGTTCCAATCGGGATAACCTTGATTTGGGTAAAAGATTGTATAAATTTGATTTGGGTAAAAGATGGTAAAGGGAACGCAATGGGACACAATATATATATATATGTATATATTGTTCTCTAGATAGTCCGAATGATGTTGTTTTGAGCAGAATTCAGCTTCCGCCGTGAGTGACGTGTTCACCATGTGTGACCATCACACGCGTGGCTTAGGTGGGCAAGTGAAGGTGGTTGAAGCTTCTCCTGACATGACCATCCGCGAGTTCAAGAGACAGCTGAAAGCAATGCGAGAAGAGACAGCAGATGAGTTGTCGAAACTGACCTCAGTCGAACTGCTCATGGGTGAAGCTAAGTTGATTGATGATGAGACAGTGATGGAAGCGGGACTTTCTTCAGAGGTGGTTTTGCAAGTTTGCTTCGCGGTCGTCATGATTTGTTAATCAGGTGTTTGGTTTATTTTGATTTGTTGTTTGTATATGTTGTTAATTTTGGGCAGAAGTTTGTTGCAGAACAATTGTTGTGATTATTGCTTTTAATGCCGCAGTCAAGGTCCGCTCAGTAGAGTGTTCAAGAGAAGACAATTCGGGCTGTTATTTGAGAGGCATTGGGGAAGATTTGTTCATGG